GCACTTACGTTGACGAGGTTCCCCCCCCAGGGGCGAACATCGTTGACGGCATGTGGATCTTCAAGGTGAAGCGGCCACCGGGATCTCCCCCAGTCTTCAAGGCACGCTACGTGGCTAGAGGGTTCAGTCAGCGTGAGGGAGTTGACTTCTTTCAGACCTTCGCGCCCACCCCAAAGATGACCACTCTTCGGGTGTTACTGCACGTAGCAGCGCAGAGAGACTACGAGCTACACTCTCTTGACTTCTCCACTGCCTTCCTCCAGGGCCGCCTACACGAGGAGATCTGGCTGCGTCGTCCTCCGGGCTTCACTGGCACTTTCCCGCCTGGGACCCAGTGGAGCCTCAGACGACCGGTCTACGGTCTCTGCCAGGCACCCCGTGAGTGGCACGACACTCTCCGCTCTACTCTCTCCGACCTCGGGTTTGAGCCGTCTTCCGCCGACCCGTCGCTGTTTGTTCGTCGTGGGCGCACACCTTTCTTCGTTCTGGTCTACGTTGACGACTTGGTTTTTGCCACAGCCGACACAGCTGCACTGGCGGAGGTGAAGTCCGAACTGCAGAAGAGACACACCTGCACTGACCTTGGGGAACTGCGCCGCTACCTTGGCCTGCAGATCTCCAGGGACAGAGCCGCTCGCACCATCACTCTGACTCAGTCACACATGGTGCAGCAGGTCCTTCAGCGGTTCGGGCTTCAGGACTCCTCTCCTACACCCACTCCTCTTGCTGTAGACCACAGACTCACTGGGCCTTTTCCTGACGAGCCGTTCGAGCCCAGTGGTCCCTACGCAGAGCTGGTGGGCTGCCTCATGTACCTGATGATCTGCACTCGCCCGGACCTCGCCTTCCCTCTTAGCATCCTGTCTCGCTTTGTTGCGACTGGGAGACACCGTCCTGTTCGCTGGTCGGCGGCTAAGAGGGTGGCGAAGTACCTTGGCGCGACATCAGGCATGGGGCTTGTACTTGGAGGGACACAGCCAGTTGTACTCACCGGTCACTGCGACTCCTCCTACGCCGACGACGTTGAGACTCAGAGGTCTACGCAGGGTTACTGTTTCAGCCTGGGTTCTGGAGCTGTTTCGTGGAGGTCTACTCGGTCCTCCTCGGTTGCGACTTCTACCGCAGAGGCCGAGATCTACGCTGGGGCCCTTGCTGCTCAGGAGCTACGCTGGTTGACCTTTTTGCTCACTGACCTTGGTGAGCGGCCGAGCTCTGCACCGACCCTGTTTGCTGACAACAGGGCGATGATTCTCCTGTGTCGTGAGCCTCGACTGGAGAGCAGAGTGAAGCACATCGACGTCAGGTACTTCCTCCTTCGAGAGTTGCAGAGACGCGGGCAGGCTCGTCTGGACTTTGTGGCCTCCGAGGCCAACACTGCAGACATCTTCACCAAGGCTCTTCAGCCTTGTGACCACCGCCGGTTCTGTCTGCAGTTGGGCCTCGTTGAGACTGGGTCGAGTAGACTGCAGTAGTGAGTGCTTGTCTCTTGTCTTTGCTTGTACAGTATATATCTGCATATACACTCTTGAACTGGCCTTGTGGCCGCTGTTTGCGCTCAGACTGTGTGGTGACGTTGTGATCCACCCTGAGCTTTGTTTTGTCTTTTGTTTGTGACTGGTCTTGTGACCTTAGGTTGCGTTTCTTGTTGCTTGGCATTCCCCACTTAGGCTATGGGGGTGTGTCAAATGTTATACCCTGTTGTGGGTCATGCTATATGGGGTACAAGCAGTTAGGGTTAGGCATATGTACCCCAACCCAATCAATCCTACTCATTCCGCTGTTTTCACTTACTGAGACAAAACTAGTCCTGCGAGGCAAAGTTTTTGACACGTGTCCTCTTGTTACAATCTGACGCACGTGTCCACTCTGAATTAACCGTTTCTCCGGGCAATTTTTGCGCCGGAAATGTTTTTACGGGACAAAAAAAACAAAACTCTTAGGAGACCGGGACACATTTTCGGGAGGGATCAACCCTAAACACGGGACCTTCAAGGTGTTTAGGGTTGATCCCTCCCGCAAATGTGCCCCGGTTCCCTAGGGGTTTTATGTTTTTTCCCCCGTCGAAATTTTTTATACGTTGAAGTGCGTCAGATGGTGCACACGAGGATACGTGTCGAAAAAATCGCCCCGCAGGACCACTTTTGAACATACTTTGGGCCTCGCGTGAGAGAAATTCTAGAAAGTGGTACTTTTTTAGTAAACCTGGGGGTAAAGATGAGAGAAATCTGAAACTAAGGATCTGGGATATAGTTTCCCTTTTGCTACTTACAATTTCGCTCATGCCTTAGCTCATTGTTCAGTACAATTGCACTCTTACGCCCTTACACTCTTTATGTTACTAAAGCTTTGACCCCTTATTGCAACACTCATTAACCCGTTTCTTTTGAGAGATAACAGGGGCCTGTGTGTCGCCGCACCTGGTGCGCTGCAAGGCGAACTTTTCCCGCCAACCACCAGAATGACGAGGCTGAGCATCAAGCCAGGGAGCTTTGGTCCGGGGACCCGTTGAGGATGATTTACCCCTGATTCCCTTGTCTTGTCCTACAGCGTCGTCCTTCCATCTGCTCAACCTGAACCTGGCGCATTTGGGTTCCTGTTGAAAACGAGTCCTTGACTTGAGTGCGACATCCCACTTTAGTGCTTTCGCTTTGCAGATCAAACACCTTGCGTGCACGCCGTGGTTTCTAAAGCGCACGCCGTGGCTGCATAGTCCGCATGTCATCTTTTGGATCTGTCGTTCACAAAGGCTAGCTGTGCACGCGGTCAAGAGCGAGTCAAAAATATCCGTAGAAGGTTTTTGTGCTGACTTTAGTGAAGAACTGCGTCTGGTGAGTGCTGCTCGTGTCGGGTCTCCTTCCTCAGTATCTCTGGTGACATTCTGCTATGTAATAATATTGATCAGTTTGCTGAGGAGTGTCCTGATTACCTTAGTGTCCTCGCATCTCCACCAAAGTAGCATTTTTTTTACGCGACCCTGCCAGTTTCCATTTTGAGAATCATTCGTGCGAGAGGAAGTTATGCTGTTTAATTGGTCTCCTCTTCCCTCTCGTTTCGTTTTCATTATCGCACACGTTCATGTCGCCACCCTCTTCCCTCCCTTCTTCCCTCCCCTCTTTTTAAGAAATGTCCGCATACTTGTCACTACCATTCCATCCTTCCCTCACTCCCCCGATATTTTGTTTTCACCGTTTCTCGTCATGGATGCCTTTTATGCCTATCTTCCTGTTCGTCAGGTTGACTCAGCTGTCGATATACCTAATCGCGAAATTGTTCCGCATTATTGTTCCCTTCCCCTGACGTTCGTCATTTCATGGTCCCATAACAACTCCAGCCGAGGCCGTAGCCAGCGGACACGGTTGAGCAGCCCACATGGAGGGCGTGAAAAAGTTCACTGGCAGGGAGCTAGAGCAAGCAACCAACAAGTTCCACCGTGAGAACTCTCTCGGTAGAGGCGGCTTCGGTACAGGCTACAAGGGTCAAATCGATGGCCAACCGGTTCTTGTAATGAAACTTAACCCGGACACTAGCCGGCAGGCAGGCGAGCGTTTCCTCCGCGAAGTGACAGTTCTCACACGCGCCGACCACCGCCACATTGTGAAGCTCATAGGCTACAATGCTGAGGCGCGCTGTATCGTGTACGAGGCACTTCCTGGTGGCAATCTCGAGGACAGGTTGGCATCTGAGACTGGGCGCAAGTCCCTGAGGCAAAAAGACCGCCTGCGCATTGCAGCTGAGGTGGCGGAGGCCCTAGTGTTCCTCCATCGCCTGGACTACCCCATCCTGCACCAGGACGTTAAGCCCGCCAATGTCATGCTGGACGACGATCTCATCAGCAAGCTTGGAGGAGTTGGTCTGGCGAAGTTCCTACCAGTCAATGACTCGTCAATTTGGGGCACTGTGGGATATATTGACCCATTGCTATTGCGGACAGGCAAGTACGGCCCTCAGTCAGATGTCTATGGGCTTGGGTTGGTGGTGCTGCAGTTGTTGACGGGCGAGAAGGTGAACAAGGTGTTGGAATACGCCAAGTTCGGGCTGGAGGGAGTGCTGGAGCACCTTGACAAGGAAGTCACGTGGAATGATAAGATCGTTCGTGATGTTGCTGAGCTGGCGTTGAGGTGCCGTGACAAGGCAAACCGGCCTGACCTGGAGTCGGTGGTGCTGCCAGCACTGCAGATCCTGGCCAAGGACACGGCCCTGGATCTGGATCAAGATGGGGCGCCGCCTCCCAGGCAAGCAGCAGGAGGCTCGGGTGCAAGGGGGGGAGGAGGGAGAGGAGGACATGCGGGAGGGAGAGGGGCAGGGCGTGGGGCAGGGGAGGATGCACACAAGGCGACACAGGCAAGCGCATCAAAGAAGTCAACGTCCATGTTCAGCTTTTTGTGGGGCAGTGGTCGCAAGTAATCTGGGGTGTACCTCAATGGCACTCTCGTGTGACTCTCTTCATAGTAGGTTGATAGCAGATGCTAGGGTAGTTGGGCAGAAGCTGGACCGCTTTGTTGCCAGCAGTAACTGCTTAATGGGGGCATTCAATGTGGCAAGCGGAATAAGTGTTTGCTGCTGGGTGTGGATCGGTTGATGGCTTGTTGGGCGTGGAGCCAGGCACGTGGAACATTACCTTAGTCCGAGCGCCTCAGTGATTTCTCTGGTCGTGGTTGGGGAGGAAAGGTGGTGACGAAATAGGAAGGTTAAGTAAATAGTGTTTATTTACAAGTACTTATTGTACCATTCAGTATGGATGAAGTTTAATGCCTTCTCATTTTAACATACGCATTGGAAAGATGAACTATATTTGTAAATATAAAGTTACAATTGAAACTCGCGTGCCCTTCCGCCATCTACTGGCGGAACGACGCGAGTCACATCTCGAAAGCAGGCAGACTGATTCGATGGTCGCTGTGAGGGGTGACGAATGCAAAGCGCCAGACTCTTGAATAAAAAGCCCCTCACAGCTGATTGAGAAGGTCACTTCTTTGCAATTACAGATCGCAACCCCAAACATGGCGGACAGAGACGATAACGCAGCCGGCCAAGAACTTCACATTGACCGAACGGAAATGCTCAAAGTCATCGAACAGATGATCAGCTACTCGACGGAGTGCTCGGCTGACGCTGTATTGTGCTCGCGTGCTTGTCAGGAGATCTGTAATGCACTGAAAGAAGTCCAACCACTTTTCTTGGTTCTCAAGCACACTAACCTCACAGTAGCACAGGGTAACAGCTTGGTGGAATCTCTTTCTGAGATGGCTAGCTCACTGGCGGATGTGACTGTCTGCGTGGATTTGTGCCGCGATAGGCTATGGAAGTTTCACTTGCTTCAGCACTCGGATTCCTTCACTTCACGGCTTCAAGACGCAACTAAGAAGACGGGGGATGCATTATATGAGTTTGCCAGCACAAGGATCAAGGTGACCTGAAAGTCTAGCATGCAGCCGCGGGGGCATGTTGAAAGCGCGACACTAATTTGCTTCATGTATTAAACAGATGGAACCGGGGTTTCCGGTGCACTTATTTTCGGACGTTCTCACAGCAGCGGCTAAAGCAGCTACGAAGCTCAAGAAAGTCGACGTGAACCTTGATCCGAATGATGCACGCTTGAAAGAAATGGTCAATACTGGTTGTGACGAAGTCGTGAGTGGTGCATCCGATCACGCCTTGGACATAATACTTCAAGGAAGGCATGGTTATTGGCGAAGTGTGCAAAGCATGAGCCAGCTCTCGCTTAATGATTCGAGTAATGGTCAGCAAACATCTCGTGGTCGTGAAGGAACGTCGTCTGGCAGGTGAGAAAGGTTGTCTTGACACACACTCCCCATCTCGCTTGAGCTAATCATTACGTGAACGCAGACCGGCAAACGACGGAGAGATGCGCCTGGAGGCAACAAGACCAATGCTTGAATCCATACGGACAACGCAAGACAATGGTAACAGCTTCGCTCCATCCGTTCTCAGCCCTCGCTCATTTGCCGAAGTAGCATCGCCTACTGGAAGTGCGGAACCCAGCTCATTGCCAGAAACGTCTGGTAAGTTTTGGATCCCGTTGATTTTTAAAAGGAAAAGAAGGGTAAACACTAACAAGCTGTTTTGCTCAGACTCCGCGAACAATACTTCTAAGGCCCTGGATGATGCGCCGGCTGAAAAGTCAGGGAAAGACACCGTTAGTTATGGCACACCAGATCGACCTTTCGGCACAAGAAGGTAAGACCTTTTTTTGCTGTTCCATTTAATTCATGCTGACAAACTCTATCACAATGTTTCTGCAGGAGAAGGTCAAGCATGAACGATGAGCCACCTCCTGAGTTTCTATGTCCTATCACATGCGAACTGATGGCGGATCCAGTCATGGTTGTCACGGGACAAACTTATGAGAGGAGCTCCATCAGACAGTGGATAAGTGAGGGCCATCGTACATGCCCTATTACGCGTAAGTATCAAATCCATCCATTAGTTCGAGAGATTCTTTTAATGGAAGTACTTCTGATCATGCTGTCGATCTGCTTGATATGATACCAGGGATGCCTCTTGGGAACATAGAGCTGGTGCCTAACTATGCACTGCGAAACGCCATTCGAGCTTGGGCACAAAAGCGGGGGATTGAGTTGAAGGAGCCTGAGTTCTTTCCGCCACCTCGTATAAGCGGAGCTCAATATAAGACAGCTAATAATGCCTCGGCACCATCACAGATCCCTACATGGGACAATGCTCTGCCAGACAGGAGGAGCCCTCCCATGCTGGCTGTTACGCAACTGTTCGTTGGCTCATCCGCTGACAAGGTCAATAATGTCGTGCACAAACTCCCTTTTTTTATATTTTCAAAAAAAAGGGAAATTATTTATGTTCGTTTTGCCACGTTGATTTTACAGGATGCAGCTGTGGCTCAGCTTGCAACAACTGCAAGTGAAGATGGGGAAAATGGGCGGGTTTCAGTTGTACAGGCTGGTGCAATCCCACCCCTCATCATGGTTCTGCTTGAAGGCTCTGATTTTGCAAAGGAAACGGCAGCAAGATGCATCCGCTTCCTTTCCAGGAGCAACAACCCAATCATTACACAAGGTTCCGCAGGAGCTATCCCAGCTTTGGTCCGACTGCTTTCTGTGGTAAGTATGGGCTTGTTTTGCACTCATGGCCACTAGTACGTGGCACTTAACAACCTCCTCTCTCTGCAGGGGTCTCAAGCTGCAAAGGAGGCTGCATGTGGCGCGCTTGTCAACCTCTCAGCCAAGACGGATGTCAACAAATTCCAGATTGCAGTTGCTGGAGGAATAACTCCACTAGTTTCTCTTCTTGACTTCAACCAGCCAAATGCCTCAAGGACCTCGTATGAGTGCGCATCAGCGGCACTGTGCAATCTTGCTTTTGACAATGAGAACAGGCTGAAGATTGCTGCAGCCGGTGCCATCCCTTTGCTTGTCGAGGTATGATTCGAAGTTTATGTCGTTAGTTTGTACAGATTTCACTGACGCTGTGTTATAACAGGTTGCTGCAAGATCCCCGACCCCAGAAGCTGGAGAATATGCCACTCACGCCCTTGGAAGCTTGGCTTGTGAAATCAATGAAAATGGGGAGAAAATTGTTCAGGTAATTTGATAGTTTCCACTAGAGCTTTGATCTTCCGTATGACTGGCTAACTCTGAACTTCTGTGGCACAGGCCGGAGCTGTGCCAGTGCTGCTTGCAGCACTTCAGAACGGATCTCCTTGGAGCAAAGAAGCAGCTGCGCGGACACTTCGTAACTTATCATTCTTTGAGAACCTGCGAGAACCATTGCTTACGGCTGGAGCGATTGAGGTTTTGACCCGAGTGACAGAGTCGGGAACAGCCAGGGCAGCAGAGTCTGCCAGAGCCGCATTGAACCACCTCAGCAGAGCGACAAGGTCCACACAACCTACCAGTGGCACACAAGAGATGCGCATAGCGGCTCCTGCAGGAACAAGGGCAGCAGTACCTCCAGTAACCTCAGTTCCAGCCACAACGAACTCGGTCAATGCCACCAGTCGGTTGCAAATTTCAGCACGTCGAGTCGAGGCGAGTCGTCTTTTTGGCAGATCAAATGCTGGAAGAGTGCACCCAGAACCGGAACCTTCTAATGGAGGCACTGGCACATCTGGGCAAGGTGGCAGCAGTTCTAGAGGGACAACTCGGGTGCACATAAGGCCCAGTGCCAGTAGAGACAGTTCTAGGAGATAAAATTTCTACAGGTCTTCTTGTTCATTCATAGCTGATGTTCCTATTACTGCTGCACTCTTTCCTAATTTGTGTGAGTACAATTTATTCAGCTACAGTAATAGACATATAAGAACATTGGATGAACGTACCCGCATTTATTCAATTTGTGTGGTTGTGCTTCCTTCTGTATTTGCATGAACATTGCAGGAATGCGTTTATATGGCAGAAGAGTGTTTTTTGAAAAAAAACTGGAATCAATGGTTCGTTCATGCTTACAAATAACTTAAACCAGATGATTGTTTACCTTCAAGTACGGTACCAGTCTGACTGACACTCCTGGAATTTGTATGATGGCCTAAATATACAATATCCATGCCCTCCCTGACTTCCCATAGCCACAACAGGAGACACATCTCAGTAACATACATGATCGTACCCTACACTTTTCTGTGGGTAACAAGCTACTGGAGAAAGGAACTACAGGTCTCCAATCTGTCCTAGAAACAGCACTACACACTACAAAGCCAGAGTCAACTGCGTTTCCATTTTGTAAAAAACAACTGCTTAGAAAAGGTGGAGCGAGCGTTTCTTGGCATCCTGCTTCCACTTGGGCTGCTTGTAAAAGGCCTCCTTATCACATCCAAACACTTGAAGGAAATCCGCATCCGACAGATAAGCCTGCCATGCAAAGCCCAACAGTGGGAAAAGAGTACGTAAGATTAGGGGATTTTGATTGTTGGGGTGATAAAGAGCATGTCACTTGCTGCCAACAATCATTCAAGCGAATGGACATCTGCGGCAATCTCACAAAACACCTCCACCGCTCATCACACCTGCTCATTTGCACATCACCCCTGCTCATTGCACACCTCTCGCTTCTTGGTGTCGATGCCAGGAGCAGGATCCGAGCTGTTGACTGTGAGCCTCTCCAGAGCGTATTGGGCGCCTTCCACTGCTGCCTCAGTGCTCGCCGCATTAGAGGGCTCATCTTCCTCGGGGATGGGGGTGGGCACCGGGGAGGAGGGCGTGACGGCAGCAGGGCTGGCAACGGGCTGTGGTTCGGACGTGGAGGATGGCGAGCGAGCCGTGGCAGCGGGCGATTGCACCTTGGGGATGGAGTATGCTGCTCCTCCACCACCTGCTCACAGGCAATTGGGAGACACAACCACTTGAATATAGCTTGCTCCTGCCCCCACACCTAGTGATACTGTTTGGCCAACATGTAAAGTGACCAATGTACTTTCAGGTTGACTGGTTTGAAGCCATGTTGTCGAGCCAGCCAAGGAAGTGTCAAGTGGTGAGAATGATTCCATGGCGAAAAATCCACATGACAAATCTAACACACAGGGCAGAGAAATTCCACCATGAAGCAAGAAGCAACACTCACTCTTCCTCTTCTCCGCGGTGAGAGTGCCCGACAGTGCAGCAATGGCAGCAGCACGCTGAGACGCAGCAGACATCGGCGCCGCAGCCTCTTCTGCAGGAGCAGGCTCGGGCGTAGCCACGGGAGCAGGTGCGGCAGCAGCCGGAGCAGGAGAAGCAGGTTCGGGCTTGGTGGGTACCCCCTTGATGGCGCCCTTGAGGGCAGCCATGGCTGCTGCCATCTGAGAGGACGCTGAATCCTTGGCAGCGTGTGCAGCAGCAGCAGCAACCACCTCTGCTGGCGGGGCTGCTGCGGCGGGCTCTGCTTCTGCTGGTGCCGCAGCGGCACCGCCAGCAGCAGCGCCGGCAGCAGCAGCAGCGGGGTGGGATGATGCTAGGCCAAGCGTTGCCAACTTGCGCTTGGCAGCCTGAAAGTGACGATACAGATTGGTGGAGAAAGGTGGAGATGGGCTGGCTGGCAGCAGATGGCCTTATCCACACGAGCATCCCATTCAACTTAACACAGTCATCAAACCAACGAGGAGCACATCGTCGGTTTGCCACAACAGTCCACATCCAGCCAAGAGAGAGCACAGATGGCCATCAACGGTGTCCTCATCTCCATGTCATGCCGTGCAGCAACGATCCATGGCACCGCCAGATACCAATACGCCGTCACATCACATCACCACCATCAACACACAAAAAAGCACCATGCCCCCAATGTCCCAGTGCCCCTATGCCCTGATGCCCCCATGCTCCATGCCCCCATGCCCCAATGCCCCCATGTCCCCATGCCCCCATGCCCTGATGCCCGATGTGCTTCCCGCCCCTGTGCCCCCATGCCCCGATGTGCATTTCCCCCCATGCGACTGCACTCACATCTGACAGCTCCACCTCGCGGCCCTGCAGGTGCGCCAGCTTGCGCTCATGCGGGTCCACAAACGCCTGGGGGGGCAGCAGGGGCAGCAGGGGGGAGCAGGGAACAGCAGAGGGCAGCAGCGAGAAGCAGGGGGCAACAGGGCAGTGGAATGTGGTTTAGAGGAGGGAAGCGGCATGTGAATGGAAGGCGAGTAGGGAATGAGGGGGCGCATGGCGTTGTGCATGCACAGTCCTCCGAAGCACAGGCAGCCACTTAATTAGCACACCCCAGGCCCCAAGTCTTGTGGAACCCGAATGCAAGCGGTGAGGGAGCATGGCCATCCCACAGCCCGAACCAAAGTCAAGTTGCAACTGGCATGTGTGCATGGGCGTGAGGGCGGCACAGAGCGGTCTAGTGTACATGCATCCCATCCCATCCCATCCCATCCCATCCCATCCCATCCCATCCCATCCCATCCCATCCCATCCCATCCCATCCCGTCCCATCCCATCCCATCCCATCCCATCCCATCCCATCCCATCCCATCCCATCCCATCCCATCCCATCCCATCCCATCCGATCCCGATCCCATCCCATACCATCCCATCCCATCCCATCCCATCCCATCCCATCCCATCCCATCCCATCCCATCCCATGCCAAGCAAGCAATCAGAGCACTTACAGCGGTCTTGGTGGGGTCCCATTGGAAGTGGGTGGTGAACATGGGCGGCTCAAAGCCCTCCACCACGCGCACGATCGTCACCTCCTTGGACCGCCCCTCGCTGCCCGCCACCGCCTCCACATACCGCTGCCATGGGGGAGGGGGGAAGGGAGAGAGAGTGCGGGGGGGGCAGAGTGCCAGGAGGGGGTCGGCAGAAGGGATGCATGGAAGGGGTTAGCCTAGGTGCTGCTGTGACTTTCCCTCGCTGCCCGCCACCCCTCCACGTACCGCTGCCCAGGGGGAAGGCGAGAGGGCGGGGGGGGCAGAGGACAGTGCCACAGGGGATGGGGGGAAGTGCCGGGGGGAAGTGCAGGGGGCAGGGGAAGAGTGCCAAAGGGGAGGGAAGGAGTGCATGGGGCAGAGTTGCGTGAAAGAGAGTTTTGGTGAGGGGTATTCTAATTCACAAAGGAGTAAAGGCACACACGAGCGCATTCCAACAACCTCAACACACAGCACTCAGCGCACGGCACACAGCAACGCACCTGCGCGTACTCGAAGGCGTCCTTCTTGTCCTTGTCGGGCAGGTTGACGCCCACCCACACAAACACCTCGCTGTGCGTGTCCAGCAGCATCACGTCCTCGCTGATCAAATCCTCCTGCTCGTAGTTCGGCACCTCCACCACCTGCCCTCCCCGCATGGCATTTCAAGGCAGTGAAGGAGGGGAGGGGAGTGGAGGGGAGTGGAGGGGAGGGGAGGGGAGGGGAGGGGAGGGGAGGGGAGGGGAGGGGAGGGGAGGGGAGGGGAGGGGAGGGGAGGGGAGGGGAGGGGAGGGGAGGGGAGGGGAGGGGAGGGGAGGGGAGGGGAGGGGAGGGGAGGGGAGGGGAGGGGAGGGGAGGGGAGGGGAGGGGAGGGGAGGGGAGGGGAGGGGAGGGGAGGGGAGGGGAGGGGAGGGGAGGGGAGGGGAGGGGAGGGGAGGGGAGGGGAGGGGAGTAGATGGTGAGTGGGGAGGCTTATCACATGCACCAGTGCACGCACATGTGCACATGCATGTAGATGGTGAGTGGGGAGGCTTATCAGAGAGCGGGGTGCGGACACACCAATGCCACTGTAGCTATTGTGCTTCCACATGTGAGTGAGAAGTGACGGGCGCTTACCTTGGAAGCCGCTGCAGCCGTGCGGTGACGAGAGGAGCCCATGCCATGTTGCAGATGACACACACATGGCACATGAACATTTCACGCACACACATGTGGCACATTGCAAATCACATACATACACAAATGGGTGAGAAAAGCTTTTGAGTAGGTGGGAAAGACATTTGGAAGCTGTATTTTGACGGTAAGTTGAATGAATGGCGAGACGAGCAAGGAAGGAGAAGAGGGGGGAGAAAGGGATGAAGGGACCACAAAGAAGAGGAGGGAGAGGGCTGAGGAGAAGAGGGTGGAGAGGAGGAAGGAGGGTGACAAAGGAAGGTGGGAAGACAAGGAAGGAGAGAAGTGGGGGATGGGAAGGGATAAGAGGGAAGAGAGGAGGGAGATGGTAGGGGTGCAAGCGTGGAGGTGAGGGGAGGGCAGGCAGTTGGAGGCAATGGAGTGAAGCCACCAACCAACGGGGCTCCAGGCCTCTCACTCTCCGTCCTCTTCCCCTGTCCCCTGTCACCCAATCTCCCTCCGTGCACCCCATACACTATCACCCCCCAAATCCGCACCAGCTGCCAATCGTCAGGTTTCCCACCCTTCCCTTTCTCCCCACGCCAAACTAGTCTGAAGGGCCTCAACCATGCTCACGTGCAGCGCCTCGCCATAACTACCTGCAGTGCCGGTGTAGTGGAAGAGGCGCGCGTCCCTCTGCGCCTCCCTCTGCTCGCGCTGAGCGGGATAGTCCCCCTTGGCGCCCAGGTGCCCCCAGAACACGGATGTCTCCTTCCCCTCCGCCAGCTGCTTCAGCGCTGCCCCGGGCTGCGTGGGGGATGGGGAGCGGGGGAGAGGGGGAGAGGGGGGGAGGAGGGAGGATGAAGGGCGCCAGGCAGGTAGGGGATGGAAAGAGCGACACAAAGAGCGCCCAGGTGCCCCCAGAATACCGACGTCTCCTTGCCCTCC